GTTTAGAAACCCCATCTAGTTCAAATTAAATCACCAAGATTGATTAAGAGAACATCTAGGGGTAAGCATATTACACCTATACTAAAATACCTCCACTGGTTGCCAATTAGTTTCAAAGCAAAGTACGAAGTGTTGGTTATTACCTTCAAAGCTCTACATGGTTTGGATCCAGGTTACCTGCAAAACTGCCTTCTCCTGTATAACCCACTCCATGGACTGAGATTCTCTGGGAGACATTGACTTCAACCAGCTAGAACCCAACTAGTAACTATCAACCAGAGAACTTTTTCATCAAATGCTCTCTGACACCCGTTGCTTACAGGTTCCTACTGGCCCTATCACATAACACAAAGTCCATTTCGTAGGTAACTCGTAGACCTCTGGTATTTTTGCACATCTTTCAGGATGTGTTTGGGGGATAGTCTTTTATGCCACTTTTTTAATTTCCCTTTACCGAAATGGCCAGTATGGCGCTTCCAGTATCATGATTATAATGTGTTCTGCTTTACTTGTATTGCTTCCCTTAAAAAAAAGTCAAAACTGCGCTGCTCCAGAGGACAGTACAGAAATTTTTTTTGGGGGGGGGGGGGGTTACATAAGTGCAAGATTCAGCCCAAAAAGATTTGTTTTTTGGGCTGAATCTTGTTTTTTGGGGATGACAGTGATGTAGGGAAACATTGGATGGATTGGGAGGGTCTCCCTAGCACGAAGGCTGCCTTTTGCTTTCCCAGGGTGCAAGATCCAGAGGAATGAGCATGCTGTCCCCGAGAAAGCCAATGGGCAAAACAAGAAGGGCATTCAAGGCAGAGGCACTGATTGATTGCGAGAAGCGATGGAGGGGAAAGGTCCCCTCAGTGCTCGTGCCTCCATTTCTGAGCCATTAACTCAGCTAGGCCAAGGAACACAGCGCTTGGCTGGTCAGTCCTGCTCACTCGCTCACTCCAGCCACCCTTGGAGGGCCCTCCCTCTCTCTAATGGCCCTCGGTAGGTCACTTCTGGGTCCAGGGAGGGGCCTGCGAGGTAAACTCTGTTGGAGAAAAACAATCCCACATGCTTGGTCCCTGTCTCTGTTTTTCCTTGTCTCCCTGCTTGTTTATGACACTCCAAATCACATTTGCTTGCACCTGCTTCCTTTTGGGCTGGGGGGGGGGGGGGTGGGCTACATGAACAAAAGCCAATAGCCCAGAGGACAGGAGCAGAATTCAAAACAATCTTGACAGATTAGAGAGATTAATGGCCAAAACTAACAAAATGAAGTTCAACAGGGACAAATGCAAGATACTCCACTTGGGCAGAAAAAACGAAATGCAAAGAGACAGAATGGGAGACAATGCCTGGCTCGAGAGCAGGACGTGTGGAAAAGATCTTGGAGTCCTCGTGGACAGCAACATGAGCTAGAAATGTGATGTGGCGGCAAAAAAAGCCAATGGGATTTTGGCCTGCATCAAGAGGAGCATAGTGCCTAGATCTAGGGAAGTCCTGCTCTCCATGCTCTATTCTGCTTTGGTGAGACCACACCTGGAATATTGCGTCCAATTCTGGGCACCACAACTCAAGAGAGCTTTGACAAGCTGGAAAGTGTCCAGAGGAGGGCGACTAAAATGATCAAAGGTCTGGAGAACAAGCCCTATGAGGAGCGGCTTAAGGAGCTGGGCATGTTTAGCCTGAAGAAGAGAAGGCTGAGAGGAGATATGATAGCCATGTATAAATATGTGAGAGGAAGCCACAGGGAGGAGGGAGGGAGCAAGCTTGTTTTCTGCTTCCTTGGAGACTAGGACGCAATGGAGGAATGGCTTCAAACTGCAAGAGAGGAGATTCCACCTGAACACGAGGAAGAACTTCCTGACTGTGAGAGCCGTTCAGCAGTGGAACTCTCTGCCCCGGAGGGAGTGTGGTGGAGGCTCCTTCCTTCTTTGGAAGCTTTGAAACAGAGGCTGGATGGCCATCTGTCAGGGGTGATTTGAATGCAATATTCCTGCTTCTTGGCAGAATGGGGTTGGACTGGATGGTGGCCCACCAGGTCTCTTCCAACTCTAGGATTCTATGATTCTGATTCTATGGAGAAAAACAATCCTGCATGCTCGGTCCCTGGCTCTGTTTTTCCTTTTTTATGACACCCCGAATCACATTTGCATGCACCTGCTTCCTTTTGGGTTGGGGGGTGGGTATATGAACAAAAGCATGTCCCCATTTTCCTTTGAAGCATGAAGATTATAAAGGCCATGCTCACCCTTTGCTCTTTGAGTGAGACTCTGAGTCACCATGCTGCCTTAGGGTTTAGGGCGTCTCCATTTCCCTACCTGCTCCTGCATGATGCATGGAGCATGGGCTGCTTTTTGGGCCCGTGTGGAGTCGTTCTAACTATGACCACCATGTGAGAGTGTTGCACAAGTCTCCAGTCCTCAGTGGGTAACCAGACTTATATATAGGGTTAGAGGGAGGGATTCCTTTCCCCACATTCACATGCATGCTTCTCTCAGAAGGCGCTTTGTCTTTACTCTTCTTGCTTGCCACTATCTCCTCCACTTTTGAAGATGCACCAATGGAATCTCTGTGAGGAGCGAGACGACTTCCTCTTTAAAGGTATTTTGATTGCCCTGGCTTGGCCATGTGGTGATTCTCCATTGTTAGTTCTTTCTCTCTGCTTTGCCTCCCTACCAGTGGGGACGCATTTTGCCTTTCTCCAGGCAAAATGTAGCTGCATGGATACTTTTGACTTTTCATCCTTTTTACCTTCCTTAGAAGATGAGCTTAGTCAGCTAGTCAGCTCCAAGAACCTTTCTATCTAGAATGGATTTCTTTTTACTGAAATAAATATTTTGAACCTAAAATTGTGACTCTACAGTCCTGTGCCTTCTGTTGAACGGAAGCTTATCCTGGCTCACCATACGTAGGTTTCTGCTGGTTATGCAGTTTGCTTCTATCCCTCTGTGCTCACACATGCTGGGCCTATAGCAATTGTCTTTTAAAACAGGACGTGCTCTTTGTGCCCAGCGGGACGCCGGGGTGCCTCGGCTGAGAGGCCCTATGGATTTTCCTAAACAAAGTCTTTAGAAACTTGGAAAGTGTAACAAAGTTCTTTATTATTGCGTAGATCTTCAACAAAGCACACCAATTCTCTGTAATGTTTTCCAGCTTGTGATCCCACCAGTTCTTTGTTGCAGGCAAAGAACTGGTGGGAAAAATACACCATATCACTCAGAGGCTCACCAGGCTCCTCAAGCCCTATCATCGTCCTCCCCTCATGTTGATTCATGTAGGAACCAATGATACTGCTAGACATACTTTTCAAACATAAATGATTTTCGAGCTCTAGGAACAAAGCTAAAACAATGTAATGTACAGGTAGTCTTTTCATCCCTCCTATCAGTCGTAAGACACAGTCCTACAAGGGCCAGAAAAATAGTACAGGTCAATAACTGGCTTAGAAAATGGTGTCAGGAGGAACGCTTTGGCATTCCGTGGACACAGATACTAAAAGACAAGGGAGTTACGGACGGATGGGAATTTCTCAAGAGTGAAATACTCAAGGCGCAATTGCAAACTGTGCCAACAAAGAGAAAAAAATAGGACAAGTGCAAAGAAGTCAGAATGGATGTCCAAAGAACTTAGCAGTAACTGTGCTAAGACAAAAAGGGGCATGCACAAGAAGTGGAAAAAGGGATCAAGGGTCTGGAGAACAAGCCCTATGAGGAGCGGCTTAAGGAGCTGGGCATGTTTAGCCTGAAGAAGAGAAGGCTAAGAGGAGATATGATGAGAGTCATGTATAAATATGTGAGAGGAAGTCACAGGGAGGAGGGAGCAAGCTTGCTTTCTGCTTCCCTGGAGTCTAGGATGCAATGGAACAATGGCTTCAAACGACAAGAGAGGAGATTCCACCTGAACATGAAGAAGAACTTCCTGACTGTGAGAGCCATTCAGCAGTGGAACTCTCTGCCCCGGAGTGTGGTGGAGGCTCCTTCTTTAGAGGCTTTTAAACAGAGGCTGGATGGCCATCTGCCAGGGGTGATTTGAATGCAATATTCCTGCTTCTTCGCAGGGGGATGGACTGGATGGCCCATGAGGTCTCTTCCAACTCTTTCATTCTATGATTCTATCTGAGCAAGGGTGTTGTGCCTCTGCTTGTAGTCTGTCTGCAGCGCAATCTTCTTGCAGCAGCTGAAGATGGGATCTGTTGTTTCATCTGCTTCCTTGCAGAGTCTACACTTGGGATCTGTCGTTGACTTTTCAATTCTGTCTTTGATGGCTGTTGTTGTTGTTGTTATTATTATTATTATTATTATTATTATTATTATTATTTTCTTCCTGACTGATATACTGCAACAAAGTATTTTACCTATGCACAAGTCTTCGTGAGGAAACTATTCCAATACATCAGGTCTGTTGACATATTTTGATTTTGCCTCCTCTCGACTTATTACTCTGCACCTTACAGCTAGGTCTCATATATAGTTGTGGGTGTTTTAATTCAAACAGATGGAAGAAAACCTAGTCTAGTGGTTAGATCTTCCCAAGAAGCATTAAACCAGTTTCCCAAAGAGGCCTCCTGGCCAGAGGGTCAGGCGGCCAGACCAGACTGAGGAGGACAAGGAAGCATTGTTTATTTACAATTGCATTTGCCAAAACCATACTTTAAAAGCCCAGCGATTTGCAAGACCTCGGAGCATCTGTTTCATCTCAGGGTTTGCATGATTCCCAGCAGGCAGGAGGCTTCGCTGCCCATCTTGACCAAGTCAAGTGGACTTCATGGCAACGAGCCATTTTTGCCAGGAGGCTTCACTGACCGATGGACCGACCGACCGGGCAGCCAACCACAGGCCTTGGCCTTGACCTTAGCAAGCGGTGGACTATGCAAAGCTGGACTCCACACTCCTCCTTGCTATAAAATAGGCATGGGCAAACTTTGGCCCTCCCTCCAGGTGTTTTGGACTCCAACTCCCACCATTCCTAACAGCCTCAGGCCCTTCCTTTTCCCCCTCAGCCGCTTAAGCAGCTGAGGGGGAAAAGGAAGGGGCCTGAGGCTGTTAGGAATGGTGGGAGTTGGAGTCCAAAACACCTGGAAGGGCCAAAGAGAGAAGCTGCAAGTCTCTTTCCAAGTCAGCCCCTTGCAGCCCATTCTGACCTTCCAATATCATATCTTTCTCTCTCTCCCCCCCCCCAGGAAATCAGTGAGAATTCCAGTTCCAAATGCAAAGTGGGGGGGGGGGGGGAGGGAATTATGATCCCAAGAGATCCCCCACTCCGGCACTTCAGAAGGCGCTCCTCCTGCCCGTCCCCTCCATCCCGTCTCCGACAAAGACGAAATTGGTGTTCCCCGCAAGAGTCTGGGGGTCTGCAGCTGGGGGAGGGGTCCTAGGGCCCCCCAGGAAGGTCTTCATGCTGCGGGGACCGGATCCTGGGGCCCCACTCTGCAAAGAAGGAAAGCCACAGGGGTCCCGTGAGAGGAGCGTCAACTGGAAGTGAAATCCTGCAGATGTGGCCCCCTCCTCCATTTGCCTTCAAAAATGGAAACATGGGGAGGCCTTTGAGGGCAAATATGGGGGTGGAGGCACCCACAGGACCCCCCCCCCCCCACACACACCTGAGACCCCCCCCTTATTCCCCACCCACTTCCACCCCCTGCCTCCTAGGAAAGGGAAAGGGACCCCAAGGGCCACCCAGCCCATCTCCCCTGAAGGAAGGAGACCCCCAAAGGAAGGTCCTCCAGGCCAGTCCCCATCTACCCCATGAAAGAGAGAGACTCACCGCTTCCCAGAGGGCCACAGGTGGGGGGCGTCGGCTGTCTCTATGGGGCCCGTCCTCCTCTGCCTGGGTCCAGGGGGGCCGAACACGGGGCAGGCTCAGGGCCGGAGAGAGGAGGGGCAGCGGAGGGGGCCCGGGGGGCTCTGGAAGTGGGTCGGGGGTTCTTCTTCTGGGGGAGAAAAAAGGATGGATGGATGGATGGATGGATGGATGGATGGAAGGAAGGAAGGAAGGAAGGAAGCCATCAGGAGGGGCAAGTGACCAGGGGAGACCCTTCTGCCCCTAAACACTACTGGACAAAAATAGATGGAAGACTCAGGAATTCAAATAGAAAGTGTTGGGTTTCATCCCTGGACTGCACAAGTCTCCAGTCCTCAATGAGTAGCTAGACTTAGCTATAAGATTAGAGTGAGGGATTCCTTCTCCCACATTCCTATGCATGCTTCTCTCAGAAGGGGATTGGTTTTTACTCTTCTTCCTTTCCATGTTTTCCTCCCCGCTTTTTGAAGATGTAGTAATGGAAACTCTGTGAGGGATGCGGTCACTTCCTCTTTAAAGGTATATTGATTGCCCTGGCTTGACCACGCGGTGCTGGTCATCACCTTCAAAGCCCCAAACGGCTCAGGTCCAGGCTATTTGACCAATCACATCTCCTCTTACAAACCAGCCTGGGCACTGTGCCCATCGGAGGAGGCCCTGCTCTCAGTCCCACCCCAAGCACGGCTGGTGGGAACGAGAGAGAAGACCAGTGAGTGGTCCCTGGTCAAAAAAAGATTGGGAACCACTGGTCTAAACTGATGGATTAATGCAATTTGGCACCATGTTAACAGCCCTGGTGCAATGCTATGAGATCCTGGGAACTAGAAGGTTCCTTCCTTCCTTCCTTCCTTCCTTCCTTCCTTCCTTCCTTCCTTCCTTCCTTCCTTCCTTCCTTCCCCCTCTCTCTCTATCTATTGACTGTATCTATCAACACATCTATCTATCTGTCTGTCTGTCTGTCTAGCCACTCATTCACCCATCTCTATCTTCTATCTATCCACCCACCCATCTCTATCTTCTATCTATCTATCTATCTATCTAATCTATCTATCTATCTATCTATCTATCTATCTATCCATCCATCTACCCATCCGTCTATCCATCCACCCCCTCTCTTCCATCCACCCATCTCTATAGTCTCTCTATCTATCCAACCATCTCCATCCATCCATCTCTATCTGTCCATCCATCCATGTCTATTTTTGTATCTATCTATCAATCAATCCACCCATCCATCCATCTATGTCTATCTATCAGTACATCAATCTCTATCTCTATCTTCTATCTATCATCTATCTATCTATCTATCTATCTATCTATCTATCTATCTACCCATCCATCCATCTCTATTTATCCATCCATCTACCCATCCGTCTATCCATCCACCCCCTCTCTTCCATCCACCCATCTCTATAGTCTCTCTATCTATCCAACCATCTCCATCCATCCATCTCTATCTGTCCATCCATCCATGTCTATTTTTGTATCTATCTATCAATCAATCCACCCATCCATCCATCTATGTCTATCTATCAGTACATCAATCTCTATCTCTATCTTCTATCTATCATCTATCTATCTATCTATCTATCTATCTATCTATCTATCTACCCATCCATCCATCTCTATTTATCCATCCATCTACCCATCCGTCTATCCATCCACCCCCTCTCTTCCATCCAACCATCTCTATCCATCCATCCATCTCTATCTGTCCATTCACCCATCTATGGCTATCTATCTATCCATCCATCCATGTCTATTTTTGTATCTATCTATCTATCTATCCATACACCCATCCATCCATCTATGCCTATCAATCCATCCATCTCTATACTATCTATCTATCTATCTATCTATCTATCTATCTATCTAGCCATCCATCCATCCATCTCTATCTATCTGTCCATCCACCCCCCTCTTCCATCCACCCATGTCTCTCTATCTATCCAACCATCTCTATCCATCCATCCATCCATCCATCTCTATCTGTCCATCCATCCATCCATTCACCCATCTATGCCTATCTATCCATCCATCCATCTCTATTTTTGTATCTATCCATCCATCCACCCACGCATCCATCTATGTCCATCTATCAATCTCCATCTCCATCTCCATTTCCATCTCTATCTATCTATCTATCTATCTATCTATCTATCTATCTATCTACCCCTCCACTCATCTTGGTCAAGTGCCCACCTCCATAAGAGAGAGAGAGAAGCCAAAGTGGGTCAGAGGACCCTCCCCAGGCCCCCTCGGCTTGCACCTGGTTTCTCAAGAAGCAGGGCTAGACCCTCACACTGGGACTCCCCTCCCCAAACACCAAGGCCAGGGCCAAAGGAGGAGGCCTGGGCCTCACTTGGGAGGGGGTCGATGGGGGTCTGCCCCTCTTACCCTGGCAGGAAGACCACCCCCACGAACAGGAGGAGGAGGAGGATCCCAGCGAAGCAGGAGACCAGGACCAAGGCCAGCAGGAAGGCTGTGGGAGAAGCAAAGAGAGGGCAGTGCAGGGTAAGAGGACCTGGGAGTTGTAGTTTGACAATGTTTTCAGCTTTCCTGGCTGCTTGGTGGTGCCTCGACAAACTGCAACCCTCTCTATTCCATAGTAGGATGTGCTCCAATGGATGAGGGCCCTGGATAGAGATCAAGGGAGGGGGAATTGGGGGGGGGTACTTACGTTCCTGGCAGCCGGGCCCACCGAACCCAAAGGGACACCTGGAAGAGGAAAGGGAGGAAAGGTCACCGCTGCACCACGTCCTAAAGAGGGCATTGCAACCTATTTGGGCCTTTCCTTCCAAGGAGGGGGCCCAAACCCTCACGGAATGCTTCTACTGATGTCAAACAACAATTTGGGGGGCCCTGCCTAGGCAGAGACTGGCCAGACCAAAAAAGAAGATCTGGAACACCTGGCAAGACAGCAAGAACCAGAGAAGATTTTTCCCTAATTTTCCCCAAAATAAAGTCTCTCCAAGTTGAAGGAAAGCCACCAAGATGTTTATTTCATTCCAGTTGGAATAGATGACGACCGCAGTAATCTGCCCAGGAGCCAACATGGGCAGAAAAACACAATATTTATAGCCTGGGCAGAAAAACACAATATTTATAGCCTGGGCAGAAAAACACAATATTTATAGCCTTCAGATTCAAAAGTTCCCATCCCCCCCCCCTTCAAAGCTGGCTTTGTTATGATTGGCAGATGAGATCCAATGAGGGCCCTGGCCCCGTTTTGGCCACCCAGAAAGTGAGGTGGAAGGGAGGTGGGCAACAGGGAAACCATGAAGAAATGTCTAGTTGACTGGATTAAGAATGGCTGGTGTTTGCCAAATGACCCAGCAATAGCTTCAGGCTCTCAAGCCTGACCTAGGTTATTGTTTGATTCCTCGAATTAACATAATTATGTAGCCCTGAGAGGTCCTTTGTCACACTGTCCTGCAATATGGAGTTCATTGATGAAGTAGATGCTAGTTTCGGGATCAGGTTGTGGCACAGCAGGGAGGCGGATGACAAATCCCTGGCTCCTCGCAGATGGAGAGATGCCCTTTGCGTTGTGTGATCCAGTATGTCCATAAACCATTTTTCTGGATGGCCTGGCTATTAGCCCTCCGAGGTCCAGACAAAGCCATTTACTTATTGTCCATGCAAATGGATCTGGTTGAGTCCTTTGTTAGAGGATTATCAGCCCAGGAAGTTTGGAAACTCAAGAGCCATGAGTTGCTGGTTCATGAAAAGGTTGCTTTCCTGCATATTTTCTTATATAGACATACATGCATATAGGGAATGAGGAATGGGGCAAGGGAGCATACACAGAGTTCATAGGAAAAGGGGGAATCATGAAGGGTCTAAGGAGAAGTCATGACAGCCCCCCCCCCCCAAAGTTCATAAAAGTTCATAAAGTTTGGCAAGAGTTTATAGAAGTTCCTATAAAGTTAATGAAAGTTAATTTTTTTTAATCGTGTCAGGAGCGACCTGAGAAACTGCAAGTCGCTTCTGGTGAAAGTTAATAAGAACCCGTAAGAGTTCATGGGGGGGGGGGTGCATGGAAGTTTAGGGGAGCACTGAGTAGTCAGAGTCCATTCATAAAAACTGGAGGAGAGATAGGGGATTATGGGATCAATTCAGCCTGGTGTCCTTGGCAAAGCTATGAATCCCCTGATTTTGAACTATCTTTTACAGAGCCCTGGAAAGGGGGGGGTCACCTCTGATCACACAACAGCAGGCATGGGCCAACTTCAGCCCACCCTCCAGGTGTTTTGGACTTCAACTCCCACAATTCATCACAAAAGTTGGCCCATGCCTGCAGTAGGCACACCCCAGGGACCCTTTTGGGGGCACATCTGGGGCAAATAGGAGGGAAGGGAAGGCCCCCTAAAAGTGCAGGAGGGGTTTTCGGTGGAGTTCGGTCCTGCTTTCCTGCCAGCAGAGGAGGGTTTGCTGCAGCGTCAGCAGAGGGCCCGGCTGAATGGGGCGAAGGGCAGCAGATCTGGCCGGTGATAAGCGGAGAGGACGAGGGAGGGAGGGAGGCCGGAGAGGCAACTGTGGCTCTTGGAGGGAAAAGATATAGGCTCCAAAGGGCCCAGGACCAAGCCCTGCCTGGATGGGTGCACGCAGTCTTTGCCACACATCCCTTGTCAATTACTTATTCCGAGGGGCGGGGCCAGCGCAAAGCAGGCATTCAAGGTCCAGGAGACCAGGAGACTCTCCGGCCACCACTGGCACAAAGAAAGGGACCTGAGTCAGCTGGGGGTACTGGGATCCCCCACCTCACCATTCTGTTGGTGGCCCTTCTTCTCCAACCCTTCCAGGCAAGAGGGAGGAAGCTCTGGTTGAGAGCACCGCCATGAAAAAAATACATCTTGTCTATCTGTCCACCCATCCATCCATCCATCCACCTATCTCTAGCTATCCATCTCTCTATCCATCTCTCTATCTATTGTATCTATCTATCTATCTATCTATCTATCTATCTATCTATCTATCTATCTATCCAGTTCTAGCTATGTAGCCATCCATCCACCCATCTCTATCTTCTATCTCTCTATCCATCCATCTATCACTATGTATTCATCCATCCATCCGTCTATCCATCCATTCTCCTCTCTCTTTCATCCACCAATCACTATCTATCTGTCTGTCTATCTATTTATTTATCTATTATTTATTTCATTTACTTATACCCCGCCCTTCTCACCCCGAGGGGGACTCAGAGATCCATCCATCTCTCTCTTTGTATCTATCCACCCATCTTTATCTATACAACCATCCATCCATCTCTATACATCCACCCATCTCTATCTTTCTATCTACCTATCTACCTACCTACCTACCTACCTATCCATCCACCTATCTCTATCTTCAATCTATCTAGACATCCATCCATCTCTATCTTCAATCTATCTAGACATCCATCCATCTCTATGTATCCATCCATCTGTCTATCCATCCATCCTCCTCTCTCTTCCATCCACCCATCTCTATCTATCTGTCTGTCTATTTATCTATCCATCCATCTCTCTCTTTGTATCTATCTGTCCACAAATCTTTATCTATACAACCATCCTCCCACCTCTATCTCTATCTATCTATCTATCTATCTATCTATCTATCTATCTATCTATCTATCTATCTATCCATCTATCTACCTTCCTATCCATCCATCCATCCACCCATCTCTATCTTCAATCTATCTAGACGTCCATCCATCTCTATGTATCCATCCCGCTCTCTCTTCCATCCTCCCATCTCTATAGTCTATCTATCCATCCATCTCTATCCATCCACCCACCCACCCATCTATATCTATCTATCCATCCATCTCTATCTTTGTATCTATCTATCTATCCAGCCACCCATCTTTATCTATACAACCATCTCTATACATCCACCCATCTCTATCTGTCTGTCTGTCTGTCTGTCTGTCTGTCTGTCTGTCTGTCTATCTACCTACCTACCTACCATCCATCCATCCATCCATCCATCCATCCATCCACCCATCTCTATCTTCAATCTATCTAGACATCCATCCATCTCTATGTATCCATCCATCTGTCTATCCATCCCCCTCTCTCTTCCATCCACCCATCTCTATAGTCTCTCTATCTATCCACCCATCTCTATCCATCCACCCACCCACCCATCTCTGTCTATCTATCCATCCATCCTTCCATCCATCCATCCATCTCTATCTTTGTATCTATCTATCCACCCACCCATCTTTATCTATATCAAAATGGGGTTGGGCTGGATGGCCCACGAGGTCTCTTCCAACTCAAGGATTCTAGGATTCTATGAAGACGACCAGAAGAAAACAGGCCTGAAGAATCAACATGGAACTCTCGCAAAGCATGATATGGGGCGGACCTGGCAGATGAAGAGAGGAAGCGGGAAGGTGCAGCTGGGGAACAATGGACAATGCAGGCCGTGCCCCATAAATCACACCACCTGAAAGGTGAATGTGAATGTCCTGAAGTCAAGAGAGCGGAACAACCTGTTGAAGAGTGACTTCGGGCTATAAAGGCAAGGGACGTCCAAGATCAAGCTGAACCGCGGCAACGAGACGTCCGTCCTCTCGGAGAAGGCCAATCATCCTCATTCGGAGAGGCCCGAGTGCGTGAGATGAGGGAACGAGAGCTCTCTCTCTCTCTCTCTCTCTTGATGCGATTCTGATGGGTTTCTAATTGGATGATACTCAATAAATGTCACGTGAACAGTGTTCAAACCAAGCGTGGTCTCTGAAGTGCCTCGTTGATCAAAGCTGCCTTACTATGCCTTGAACTCTGCATTAAAAGAACAGGAACCATTTGGGGTTCATTACAATGTTTTCCCATTGATGTGGGGAGTGTCCTGCTTAACGTGGTGAAAGAGAGGCGGAGAAGGGAGGGAAGGAGGGGGTCGCTCCGGAAGGAAGGAAGGAAGGAAGGCTCACCTGGCGCAGGTGCCGTCCTGCAGGAAAAGCCCACTGGGGCATGCTGTGGAGGAGGGGTGAAAGGAAGAGAGAGAGAAAGATATGAGGGGAGGGTGGCAAGCAACCCCCCTCCACCCCTCAAGGAACCCCTCGGAGAAGAGCCAAGGGGTCCACCTGCAAGGAATGGGCCCTGAACTCAATGGCTCAACAGCCAGCCCCCCAGAAGGAGCGTCCCCATCCTCTCTCTTTGTGGACCAAAGGCTAAGCCCCCCATGGATGGCAGAGGAAGGACTGCCAGCCCCCAAGGGCCTAAAGACCCCACCCCACCTGCGCAGGTGCGATCCATGGGACTGGCCTGGAGGAAGCCCGCCCGGCAAGCGCAGTGGAGGAGGCCCTCCTGGGCGGAGCAGATGGTCGAGACGGGGTCGCAGGGGTCGAGGTCGCAGAGGCTCAGGCCTGAAGGGAGAGATGAGATGAGAAGAGATGAGATGAGATGAGATGAGATGAGATGAGATGAGATGAGAGGCACCTTGCTGAAGTCGAACATGACCCTCCCCCCATTAGAGATAGTAACTTATAGTTTGCTAAGAGCAAGGACACCAGACTGGATAATAAGGGTTAAGCCTTGGTCAATTTGATGTGTATCGTTTAATCAAGGCTTTATGCCCTATTTTCATATATTTATAGCAGAAGGTAACCAATTTATTACTGAAAATCATGCCACAAAAGTATTTGACTTTTCCCACCTGAGGCACATCTGGGCTCCTGATGGTCCCCCATCTCACAAACAAGGGACTCTCTTTCCCCCTCAGGGATATATTTCCCTTTATGGACACTGGGGGAGGGTAGTTGGGTTTACTCTCTGTATTATGATTTCTATATTTTCATATTTTCTCCTGTATTTCTATATTTCCCTTCATGTATCTGACCTTGCCCTGACCCTTTTTGCCCCCTTCCCATCTCCTTGAGGAAAAATGTGTAAGGAAGTTGCCCTGATCCTGGAGGGGCAGAGATTAGCCATCACAAAGAACTCTTATCTATTGACATCCCTTGCTCCCATTGTTCCCCTGTCTGTGCTGTTAAAGAAAACATGGATTATGTTTATTGCCACCCATCACAGGACAATAGACTAGCCTGGCTTGCAGGCCTTTCTAGGACTCGCCAGGCATTGGGACATTTCCTGAGTTTCCATAATCCACTCAAGAATGCATTGTATTCCCTTGTCCCACCTCCCTCCCTCCTGATTTGCCAATGCGCCGAAGTGGCAGGAACCTTCTGATTGGCCCACACACTCAGAGGGCGGCCGAGCCTCCTCCCAGCTGTTGGGGCATCAGCCAATCACTTTTCAGCCAGGCGGAGGGCAGGGAGCGAGGGAGAATTGAAACCCACAACTCTGTATTTTCTATAAAAATGCCATTTATTTCTGTAACCACATGCTCTGCTTGGCGAATGATTGCTGCTTTGCATCCTTTTCAGCTGAATCGCTAATAAACCTCAGTGGCACTTCCTTCCACTTGGTGAGACCTTTTCTTGGGAAAATCAGTGAAAAATATTGGGTGCTTCTCTGTCTCACCAGGGCAATGAACTCTTTGCTGAGTCTGATTGGTCTCTGCCTCCTGGCAAAGACCCCTAAATTCCAGCTCTATACCATTGCCAGAAAGGAAAGCCAAGCCCCTCTTCCTCCTCACAATGCCCCCCCCCTTTTCCCTCTTAGGCCCTGAAAGCTGAAACCTCTGACCTGAAGTGGGATGGGTTGGAGAAGGGGACAGGAGTGACCCCTGCCTTGGCTTCCACTCACTCTGGTAGGTGTCCATGTCCACTTGGCGCAGGAGGACGCAGGCCAGGCTATGGCTGAGGGGGCTGTTCCTGTCACGGCACTGCGCCCAGAGGGCAGCAAGGGTTCCCTCCACCTCCTGGATCGTGGCCGGGATCCAGGCCGAGAAGTGGTGCGTCAGAGTCACCTCTGGACCGGGCCACCTGTGGAGGGGCAGATGGTGTTGCACCTCAGCCAGAGATCCCCTTGCCCCTTAGCATCGACCAGGACTCCAAAGCAATAATAAAGCTTATTAAATAAGGGAAAAATCATTGAAAGGGATAAGAAAGGCAAAATCCAACCAGTAATCAGAAAAAGTAGTCCATAAGCAAAAGGAAAAATCCAATCAAGCTGGTGAGGAGTAAAACACTTCAAAGAGAATAATCCAAAAGGTACAGGAAAAACAAGGGTACATGAGCATGAATCCAGGACAGTAGGAATCAAAACATGAACATGAATCCAGAAAACCCACAAACTTTAGCTAAAACATGAACTGGAAACA